ATAGACGAACCTACACCAATATCACAAATTGATAAGGTGGAAAAGCAAAATAATTTAGCTATAAATGTTTTCGGACATTCTAAAGGAATTGTTGTACACAGGATAAGCTCCGCTCCGGAAAATATCCCCAGAATCAATTCATTTCTGATCGAAAAAGATGGTAAATATCATTATACGTGGATAAAGAGTTTAAACAGGCTACTATACGATCAAACAAAACATAAAGAAAAGAAATATTTCTGCGAAAGATGCCTGCATGGGTACAGCAGACAAGATCTATTAGAAGCGCATAAAGAAGACTGTAGAGGTGTTGGACAGAATGCTATCAGGATCGATATGCCTAAAGAGGGAAAAAATATATTAAAATTTGAACATTATTGTAATCAAATGCCAGTACCGTACGTAATTTACGCCGACTTCGAAGCGCTTATCAAACCCATAGAAAATACCAACCATAGCAATACTGATAGTAGTTTTACGTACAAAACTCAAGAACATATTCCTTGTGGGTTTGGATATATAGTTGTAAGGTATGATGGGAAAACAAACCCGACCGTGATTTACAGAGGTCCCGATGCAGCGGGAAAGTTCCTAGAATATCTACAAAATGAAGAGAGAATAATCAGGGAAAAATTATCGTGTAAGAAACCCATGCGTATGACGAGGGATGATTGGAGTGCTCATAAGAAGTCAACGAGTTGTCACGTTTGTAATAAACCCCTGGATGGGGATTCCGTAAGAGATCATTGTCACGTCACGGGTAATTATCGGGGAGCCGCTCATAACGAGTGTAACTTGAAACTAAAAATGAACTCTCAAACAATACCCATCCCCGTTGTATTTCATAACCTTAGGGGATACGATTCACATCTCATTATGCAAGCTATCTCGAAGACCGACGGCGGTTTAACGTGCATTCCTAATAATATGGAAAAATACATATCGTTCTCGTTGACTAAACCTATACATTATAGGGACAAGGATGGGAAATCTAGAACAAAGCAAAGTAATGGGCTTAGATTCATAGACTCCGTACAGTTTCTGTTATCTTCCCTGGACAATTTAGCTAATGCGAACAATCCCGATGACTTCGCAATAACAAATAAATATACCGATAAGATAACTCGTCATTTGTTGCTGAGAAAAGGTGTATATCCTTACGAATATATGGATGATTGGTCTAGATTCGAAGAAACTGAATTACCACCCCTCGAATCATTCTATAGTAACTTAACAGAATCTAGAATAACAGATGCCAATTATGAACACGCTCTGACGGTCTGGGATAAATTAGGTTGTAAGAATTTAGGCGATTATCACGATCTGTACTTAAAAACCGATGTACTGTTACTCGCCGATATATTCGAGATATTTAGAAAGACATGTTTCAAACAATATGGCTTGGACCCGGCATGGTACTATTCCAGTCCCGGACTATCGTGGGATGCATTGTTGAAGAAGACCGGCGTAGAACTAAAATTACTCACCGATTACGATATACACTTGTTTATTGCGAAAGGATTAAGAGGTGGTATATCGATGGCAGCTAAAAGGTATTCTAAGGCTAATAATAAATTAGTGGAAGGATACGATCCGAGTAAACCCGACACGCACATATTATATCTCGACGCTAACAATTTGTACGGATGGGCTATGAGTCAACCTTTACCCACGGGTGGTTTTGAATGGGTCGATGATATCGATAATATCAATGTTATTAATATCAATGTGAATGATGTGAATAAAGGGTACATACTAGAAGTTGACTTGGAATATCCAAGTTCGTTACATAAAGATCATAACAGTTATCCGCTTGCTCCCGAAAGATTAATGGTTAATAAAGATTGGATGTCGGAATATCAACGCTCCTTGATGGGTAATAGCAGGTTAGCTAACGTAGAAACACTCGTACCAAATTTGATGGATAAAACAAAATATATAGTTCACTACAGAAATCTCCAGTTGTATCTATCGTTAGGTATGAAACTTAAGAAAATACACAGAGTTCTAAAGTTTGATCAAAGGCCTTGGATGGAGCCCTATATAAGGTTGAACACAGATTTAAGAAAGATAGCTACCAGCGATTTCGAAAAGAATCTATATAAGCTCATGAATAACTCGGTATTTGGTAAAACTATGGAGAATCTAAGGAAGCGTGTTGATGTTAAATTAGTCAGATCTAATGAGGAAGAAAGACTCAGGAAACTTATAGCCAGTCCGGCTTGTAACAGAAGCAAGATATTCGATAACGACTTAGCCGCGTTGCATATGCAGAAGAGTAATATAAAATTCAACAGACCGGTGTACGTCGGTATGCGTATTCTCGACTTGTCAAAACATTTAATGTATGACTTTTATTACAACGAACTTAAGAAGCAATACGGCGATAGATGCGAGGTATTATATACCGACACAGATTCTTTGTTGATGGAAATACAAACCGAGGATGTGTATAAAGATATGGCAGAAAAAATAGATATGTATGACACGAGCGATTATCCTAAAGATAATCCACTGCACAGCGTAGTAAATAAAAAGGTGTTAGGTAAGATGAAGGATGAATGTGCTGGGACCCCTATAGCGGAGTATGTGGGATTAAGACCTAAGATGTATTCTATAAAGAAGTCCGATAATGGAGAGATAAGAAAAGCTAAGGGCGTTAAGAAGTATGTTGTAAAAAAGCATATCAAACACGAACAGTATAAAGAATCATTATTTAACGGTAGAACGTTCAAACACGAGATGAACTCTTTAAGAAGTTACAATCATAGGATATATGGATTAAGAATGAACAAGACATCATTATCCCCCTTAGATACAAAGAGATGGATTGATAATGATGGTGTAAATACCTATGCTTATGGTTATGGTGGTAATACCGTACCGTCGGGAACTATGAACAACTCTTCTCGTACAAATGCCCTACCCGGTCCATCTTGAAGATAATAAAGAATAGGCTCTCCTTCTTTCGTAACCAATCTACTAATGTTATACGTCTTAAGGGACCATATGGGATCGGTTGCGCGACGTAGGCCTCCTTCGAGTTCACCGGCCTGGTATAAATATCTTACGCTTACTCTATCCGGAAGTTTTCGTTCTTTGCCTCGCCTCGGTGCTGAAGATTCGGAAGTCACTGATTTCATTTTAATAGCATGGGATGGTTTCTTCCCTATTAATCTCGTTACTTCATTATTCAGCGTTGATACAACGGCTGATAATCGTGTCACCCATTCGGTTGATCTCAATCGCTCGGATTTCATTTCGATCCCATACTGATAGCCAAACAAACGTTCCGCTAATGTCCTGTTAAATCTTTCGACGATAGCTTGACTGCGGTGGGCCTCTCTTTCACCACGGACGATTTCGACATCGTTCTTTGTTAACAGTTTAGTTACCGATCCCATAAACTCGCGACCGGGATCTACTTGAAATAGCTTAGGTCATTTTAGCGGTCCGCGTTTATATATGCGACTCAGTGCATTAGCTACCTCTGTTGATTCTTTCGATGTTAATGGCTCAGCCTCTTTGTATCGACTAGCCACATCCACTACGGTTAAAGCGTATTTATACGTTTTGCGTTTTACCTTATCGTGGGGAAGAAACAAGAGGTCAGCCTGATGAACTTCATTCGTTGTAAAAATATCAAACTTCTTCCTCGGTATATAACGTGGTGCCGGTAAATATATCTGCCACATCGCTTGTTTCTTTAACCAATCCTTGGCCACATCTTTAGATACCTTAGCCGCGGTGGCTAATTTTTTTATTGTTCCTACACCTTTCCAATATCCTCGTGGGCTATAGTAAATTTTATTCATTATTAATTAATATTGATATTTCTTTTAAAACGACTTTCGTTGAATCACATCATCATGTTTATACTAATAGAAGCATTGATTGGCCCCAGGTATTGGTGACCTAGAGCCAATCTCATGACTATCGTTGAATCTCATAATCATTTTGGCATAAAAAATGCCACCTGTAGTAGCAGTATAGGTATATGAATCCGGCTCCAGTGGAAGTGGTCCAGAACCCCCATTACCTATACTACTCGTTTCTTATGGTGGTGAGTATCTATTTGTTATTCACACTGAAGCCTTCTCATGACATGCTGCTCGACTTTCACCGAGTATAGTTTTAATTAAGACACCATCATACTTCATAATTTCCTCAAATATCCTGAGGTGAGGTGAAATTGGGTTTAACGTCGCGTCCAAGATTATTGCACTTCTATAGCGATGTGTGTGTGTGTGGCTGCTTATACTAGTCCAGACTGATGCCGATTTATAGTGCTAGCCCACTGAGATACCATGCCGCAGTTTAACATGAATACCCCACTCAGACACAGTATACTGACTCCGAGCCAACCAGTCATTGCTTTAGCCCCTTAATGCCGAGCACCAGACAGGGTAACATCAAGTACCATCTTTTAATGTCTTTTGGTATGACGCGGCTGGGGATCGAACCCCGGATCTTCCGCTCTCTCGGCGGACACTCTACCACTAGACCACGGAGGCGGTCAAATATCCTGAGAATAAGACCTATCAAAAATAGATTTGAAATAGTGTTCCTAGCATTGATGTTTGTGGTTCACCTTTCACTCCGCTACATGACGGCATTCCCACATTCAATGGCAACACACACTGGCATACAACTTGAAAGCTGAAAACAGACTGTGAACACACACCATCACATTCCATAGACCCAAACTTTGGATGCACAACGTATGAAATATACCATCATCAAATAAACATTTCTTGTTTGTTTCACTTTATACTCAGGGATGTGAGCAGGTTTTCCCGAAAAGAGAGGAAAAGTCTAGGGGGGGTCTGTTTCGGAGTGTGTTTTTTTTCAAATCTTTGATTACATTTTACGCAGAAGATGATTTTTTCCGAGAACTACTGTTTTAAAAAAACGCGATTTTCCGCAGAGATTTCACATCCCTGTATGCTGCAAATCAAACTTTTTTTTCGCCCAGCAGTTGACTTCATACAAATGTCACAAGTGTTTAAATGTAATTTATTATCCATTTATGTTTATAAAATAATAGTTTTGGTTCTCAGGCACCACCAGCATCCTCCTAAAGTCTTAATTTCCATTTTAAAAATATATAATACTTCAACACAATGCACACAAAAAATTGAAAATGGAAACAAAAACGAAATGTGCAAAGAACTTTATGATGATGAGGGCAGTGCTTGAGAACAAAGACTATTATTTTTTTAGCCTTAGATCACAGTACATCACATCAAATCTACTTCATGAGTTCCAGTTCTCAAAAACAGTACAGAGCTCTCACGACTTCAACACCCTCAGACAGAGATAATCTAGTGTTGAGTGTCATGAATCAGGTCCACTGACATTGAAAAACACTCGTTGGACATCCGGGTTTTCTTCCATCTTTTCAATGAGCTTCTCCAGGACCTCCTGCTCCTGTGGCTGGGGGGTGACGGTGGTCAGCGGCAGGTAGTCCACCATGAAAGAACGGACGTCTACCTCACCCTCCAGCTTGCCCTTCACAGACATCAAGGTCGTCGGGTCACATATAAACTGAAGCAGAGAGGTTGCTTCTGAGAGTAATCTTTTGAAGATTGGTTTTAAAAGAAATTGATAGTCAAATATTTGTTTGATTGTTGTTTTAAGCCATGGTAGGCAATATTCCAGCTGTATCATGACAGCCTGTAAATAATCAAGTCTGGGTCAGCCAAACCAGTGGTTGATATTATGAGCAACAGCTCATGTCATCAGGGTGGGATGACATGTGACCAAGACACAATGAGTGAGTGAGTGAGTGAGTGAGTGAGTGAGTGAGTTGGGTTTAACACCGCTTTTAACTGTATTCCAGTTATATCAGGGCGTGTCAGCTTAATGTCAGAGGAAAGCCTGAGGTGATGCAGGTCTCAATACGGTGAAACCCACGAGCATGGGTATGGTGCTGACAAACCTAGAAACAAAATAGGGGTGAAACAGGATTCGAACCCACAATCATAGGTTTCTGGCGTGCCCAAGGGACGCAACTCTGCAGTGTATCGCTGCACCTTAGACAACTGGTTACCTCTTATGACAAGCAATAGGAAATCCTACATTCATTGAATTCTTTCTCAATATCCTTCATGTAAATACCAATATATAAAATTACAAACTTTCAAATGATATTTACCTAAGGATTGCTAAACAAATCAATTGTGAGGAAAAAAGACACTACTGCCATGAAGATGTGTCTGTTACCTGATTCTTAATGCTGCTGTTGGCTAAACAGTATTGGCCATCAATTTATTAAACTGAACTCATGTCATTGGAAAATAATCCAATCCTTGTTTGGAAACTGAAACAGACCATCACTGCCAACTCAGCTTACTTTAAGAAAACTTTCATCCATCTCATCCTTCTCTGTGGTGACATCTTCGGCCCCAGCTTCAATAGCAACATCCACGTACTTGTCCATGTCAACGTTCTCCTCCGAAAGAGTTGCCATGATGATACCCTTCTTGTCAAAAGCATGTCTTGCCATGCCTGATTCGCCAATAGAAGCCCTGAAATTGGTTGGTTTGTTGTTTAAAGCCACACTCAGCAGTATTCTAGCTATATGACTGCGGTCTGTAAATAATCGAGTCTGGACCAGACAATCCAATGATTGATATCATGAGCATCGATCCACGCAATTGGGATCGATGACATGCATCAACCAAGTCAGCGAGCCTGACCACCCTATCCCATTAGTCGCCTTTTACGACAAGCAGTCGCCTTTTACGGCAAGCATGGGTTGCTGAAGACCTATTCTACCCCAGAATCTTCACGGGTAGAAGCCCTGAAATACCAAGAAGAACATCTCATGAAGATCTGGGGTAGAATGGAATAAAAAGTGACTATGCTTGTCGTAGGAGATGACTAATGGGATCGGGTGGTCAGGCTCGCTGACTTGGTTGATGCATGTCTTTGTATCCCTATTGAGAGGATCGATGCTCATGATGTCAATCACTGGATTGTCTGGACTGGATTATTTACAGACCACCGTCATATAGATGGAAAATTGCTGAGTGCGGCGTTAAACAACAAACAAACAAACAAACAAACCTGCTGCAAAGCCATCCTTGAGATACACATTTATATAGTTCTGTGTGATTTTAGTCTGGTGCCCAATCCTTGCCTCCATGTTGGGATCCAGGGCACAGTACAATAGCAGAGCTCCAGATAAACTTTTGGTGTTGTGGGTATTTTACCCATGCATTTTAAAATCATTGGGTATCAGTAATTCTATCTGGGTATTCAAATTTCTGTTACGCACTAGTTTTTACACATGTGGGTATTTAAGTTAAATATTTAAATACTATTCATCTAGTCCCTGCAAACTGGTGTCGTGTGGGTTCGAGAGCTTTACAGGACTAAAAAATACCACGATACTTCCACAAGAAATGATCATGATGTAACTGTCATCGTGGAGTTTGGCAAGGTTGATGGAATGCCCGTTTATAATTTCAAAATAAGTTGCTGATTTGTGAATTGAATACGCAGCGTTACTTCACAATATTTTGATGATACACACAAGTTTTATTTTTGTAGTGTATCTGTAATGTTCGTTGCGTATTTGATACGCTTGGATTTTATTTTACTGCGTCTTTCTGTATTTCTGATGCGTATTTCACGCAGATACGCAGCTTATCTGGAGCTCTGGTACAATAGTTCAGAATATATACTTCTGTGACAGGATGTTAGTGGATGAAGTTACAGTTAGCCTATGTGTATTAATACCTATTGTAAAATATATTTTTGTGAAATACAGCGTTAGAAATTGGCACTAGTCCTGTAGTCCTTGCCAAACTGCCTAATAGTTAAGGTATCATAAGGACCAGTAGAATTTGCCATTTTTAATGGTTTTGCTATACGTTATCATTATAAGGACTAGTGGATTATAAATGTTTGTTTCTACCATTGAAATACATACCCAAACCTCTTGATAATATTTTGAAGGTCGTTCTTTGTTTTTGTGGGCTTGGCAGTAAATGCTTCAATGATGAAGAACGTCCCACAAGGACCACGTCCTTCGAAGAACACCACAGAGGAATTGTCTCGGGCCTTTGCCTGCAAGTAGCAGAAGAATAACACTGAGACATCATCAACACAGGCACTATTGAACCAAAACGTCATCAACGTCCACTCTCAGGTGTTGTATATTAACAAAAACATATCGTGCATATTTGTCTGTTATCCAAATGAACACAGGATAGAACCTAATCCTACAGCAATCATTCAAATACAAGGAAATATGTAATACAACCTAAACAAACCTCTGTAACACCCCCTCCGCCCCTACAGTAACACACAGACACACAGACACACACAGTAACACCCTAACCACACACAACCCATCCCCCACACAGTACAACCCCACCTACACACATAGTAACGCACACAGTAACACCCTAACCACACACAACCCATCCCCCACACAGTACAACCCCACCTACACACAAAGCAACACTCCCACACTCACAGTAACACTCAAATTAACACCCTAACCAGGTCCAATCCCACACTCAAAGTAACAGTCACAGTAACACCCTAACCACACACAACCCATCCCCCACACAGTGCAACCCCACCTACACACACAGCAACACTCCCACACTCACAGTAACACTCACAGTAACACTCACAGTAACACCCTAACCAGGTCCCATCCCACACTCAGTACAACCCCACCTACACACACAGTAACACTCCCACACTCACAGTAACACACAACCACACACAACCCATGCCACACACAGTGCAACCCCACCTACACACACAGTAACACTCCCACACTCACAGTAACACTCACAGTAACACCCTAACCAGGTCACATCCCCCACACAGTACAACCCCACCTACACACACAGTAACGCTCCCACACTCACAGTAACACCCTAACCAGGTCCCATCCCACACTCAGTACAACCCCACCTACACACACAGTAACACTCCCACACTCACAGTAACACACAACCACACACAACCCATGCCACACACAGTGCAACCCCACCTACACACACAGTAACACTCCCACACTCACAGTAACACTCACAGTAACACCCTAACCAGGTCACATCCCCCACACAGTACAACCCCACCTACACACACAGTAACGCTCCCACACTCACAGTAACACCCTAACCACACACAACCCATGCCACACACAGTGCAACCCCACCTACACACACAGTAACACTCCCACACTCACAGTAACACTCACAGTAACACCCTAACCAGGTCACATCCCACACTCAGTACAACCCCACCTACACACACAGTAACACTCCCACACTCACAGTAACACCCTAACCAGGTCCCATCCCACACTCAGTACAACCCCACCTACACACACAGTAACACTCCCACACTCACAGTAACACTCACAGTAACACCCTAACCAGGTCACATCCCACACTCAGTACAACCCCACCTACACACACAGTAACACTCCCACACTCACAGTAACACCCTAACCAGGTCCCATCCCACACTCAGTACAACCCCACCTACACACACAGTAACACTCCCACACTCACAGTAACACCCTAACCAGGTCCCATCCCACACTCAGTACAACCCCACCTACACACACAGTAACACTCCCACACTCACAGTAACACACAACCACACACAACCCATGCCACACACAGTGCAACCCCACCTACACACACAGTAACACTCCCACACTCACAGTAACACTCACAGTAACACCCTAACCAGGTCACATCCCCCACACAGTACAACCCCACCTACACACACAGTAACACTCCCACACTCACAGTAACACACAACCACACACAACCCATGCCACACACAGTGCAACCCCACCTACACACACAGTCACACTCCCACACTCACAGTAACACTCACAGTAACACCCTAACCAGGTCACATCCCACACTCAGTACAACCCCACCTACACACACAGTAACACTCCCACACTCACAGTAACACTCACAGTAACACGCTAACCAGGTCCCATCCCCCACACAGTACAACCCCACCTACACACACAGTAACGCACACAGTAACACCCTAACCACACAGTAACACCCTAACCACACACAACCCATCCCCCACACAGTACAACCCCACCTACACACACAGTAACACACACAGTAACACCCTAACCAGGTCCCATCCCCCACACAGTACAACCCCACCTACACACACAGTAACACTCACAGTAACACCCTAACCACACACAACCCATCCCCCACACAGTACAACCCCACCTACACACACAGTAACACTCACAGTAACACCCTTACCACACACAACCCATCCCCCACACAGTACAACCACACCTACACACACAGTAACACACACAGTAACACCCTAACCAGGTCCCATCCCCCACACAGTACAACCCCACCTACACACACAGTAACACACACAGTAACACCCTAACCACACACAACCCATCCCCCACACAGTACAACCCCACCTACACACAACTACTTACAGCTGCTGCCAATGCAGCATCAATGGTAGCAGAAGGAACATTCTTCATCTTGGCATCAGCTATGATCCTGGCTAATGTGGCATTCTGTTTGGGGTTCGACACACCAGTAGCTGGAAAAGTTAAGGATGTCTTTATTAAGGGTATTTGGCTTTTTAAAGCTATTTCTAAAATCTTAAAAATCACAGTCAAAATGAAACAAAACAGAAGTGAGACAGTATTCCAGTTTACCACTACAAGCTACAAGCACGGATATGATGCTGACAAACCTTGAAACATCATCAACATTATCAGGGTTAATGTTGTCCTTAGAAAGAATTGCTAAAACATATCATTATCCTGACCACACCAAGATATAACTGTAATACTGTTAAAAGCGGCGTTAAACCCAACTCACTCACTCACTCATAAGCCTGACAAGTACAGTTTGAAATGGTTCCAGCTCAGTGTGTCTTCCTTGATTCCCACTTTACTAGAGCGAAATGAATGCGTCACGTTCTAACAATGCACATATTTTCAGAAACATCACAGCTTGTCAGCTTTTTATCTGCATATCCTCAAGAGACAAAGTTTGTTTACATTTTCGCCAACCCAAAACACTGAGAAACTGGAAAACAAATAACAACAAAAATCAAATAAAAATATTTTGTCACTCCAACCAAACAAAGAAATAAAATAATAATCTGGAATCCTGCAACGAGGTAACGAAACGACTTTGCCATCAAAACTTATGTTTCTCACAAATCCTTGTATTTTAAAATGCAATTAAAAGTAATATGCATTATGGAGAGAACACAAACTATTTGGTTTACATCAGCAATATTTTGCCATCAGACACTTTGTGTGTAATATGTAGGTGAGGTGAGGTGATTATTGCACTTATAAAGCGACGTGCATGCACGTGTATGTGTGTGTGTGGCTGCTTGTACTAGTCCGGACTGATGCCGATTTATAGTGCTAGCCCACTGAGATACCATGCCGCAGTTTAACATGAATACCCCACTCAGACACAGTATACTGACGCCGAGCCGACCAGTCCTTGTTTTAGACCCTTAATGCCGAGCGCCAGACAGGGTAACAACAAGTACCATCTTTTAACGTCTTTTGGTATGACGCGGCGGGGATCAAACCCTGGACCTTCCGCTCTCCGGGCGGACGCTCTACCACTAGACCACGGAGGTGGTCTGTAAACAAGTGTAAACAAGTGTAAACTAGGTCAGCTGTCAGGGGACAAGCAAGCGACCAAAAGACATTAAAATATGGTACTTGTTGTTACCCTGCCTGGCACTGAACAAAAAGGGGATAAAGCAAGAAATGGTCGGCTCGGAGTCAGTATCCGGTGCCTGAATGTGGTCTCCATGTTAAACTGCGGCATGGTATGTCATAGTGGTGGGTAATACACAGATACATAGGTGGATCATGATTTTTTACTTCCTGATACAAGTATCTATCACAGTCGCACACTAAGTTAAAATCGATTTTAACCTTCAATATTTGCTTTAATAACTGTTGCACAAACACCATAGAGTTGTGAAAGTTTGTATTTTCATCCATGTCATACTCAACACTGCCAACTGTAAATCATCAGTGTGCTAGGTATTTGCCATCCTGTCAATCAAAAAGATCGCTTACGAACCTGTAGCGTTTTAGTATCATATAACCAGTCACTCGCTTTATCCATACGATGTCTCTATATAAATGAGTGCGCACGTGTAACAGCGCCGGAAGTGTGTGTTGTGCGCTAGCAGACCACATGGCTGCCGACTACACTTGACTGAGTGTATTGACATGTAATGAGAGAATACAACCTTTCCCCGGAAAGCCAAGTGTTTGTTGTAGCTGCCAAAGTCATCACAGAACCACAGATGAGAGCACATGCAAGTACATGTATTGTGATATGTATCGGATCATGAGCAAGCTATCCTGATATATATCAGATTGCACAATTCGTGTATCATGCCAGCCCCCATATCTCAGTGGGCAAGCACCATAAAATCGGCATCAGTCCGGACTAGTACAAGCTACATAAGTGCAATAATCTTGAACTAGACGTCAAACCCCATTTCACATGCTGTACTAGACAGTAACCGCCTCATGTGTCTCACCATGACCTTCAAACTCCAAACTCCAAGCTCCTCACAGTGATAACCCGTTGGCAGAGCTCTCTATACCATCGCTGTCACAAGTCAAAACTCCCCACTGTGACAGGTGACCACAACAATGCTTGGAGTTGAACCCGCAGCCAACAGACTGTTATGTTTACAAACAAGCGATGACTGCCGTGATGACAAATACTCTTATGCTAACTAAATTGTTTTCTGTGTTTGTCAATTTGAATTTCTATTTCAGTCGTAAACCTTTTAAAAAAATAACAGTATTGGCATTCCAATAGGCATAAACAAAAGTATAAACATTACTACATTTGGAGTTAGAAGGCAAATTTTAAAATTCTTGTAATGGCCGCGCCCATACTGGTGGAAGCAATGTCACCGATAGTGTAACGAAGGTGTCACGCACTGGGAAGGAGCTTGCTTCATACTCAACATAAGGGAGGCAACCCATGGTGAATTATGAAACTTTAAGAGTTTTAAGAGATTTACACTAAACTGGGATTGGAGAGTTTTTGCCCAAATTTGCCTTAATAAGTGGCCCAGATGCTTAGAAAATTGACAGGGATGGGCCGGTGTTAAATCATACACACAAGTTATATTTGAAATTGACTGACAGACATGATAGAATACAGACATAGTTCAATGTTGATGAAACTAAAATGTTTTTTGATAATAATACCTGACAATAACTATTAAAATACCATGTTACTCAATTTTCTGTACAAATCTCTGTGATACACACAAGAGCAAACGCCTGTCGTCAATTCATTTACATTTTGGGTATCAGTAGTGGGAATTTGCAAAGATCTATAACTTACAGATTAGTCTAGAAGTTGTTGTTTTCTTGATTTACTATTGAAGAAACAAAATCTTACAATCCAACAGTGTGGATTTGGTTTATTAAATTCTTGACTTCATTAACCATGAAAGTCAGGCACGTTGACTCTTCTTAGAGCTCCAGGTAAGCTTTTGGTGTTGTGGGTATTTTACCCATGAATTTATAAAATCTTTGGGTATCAGTAATTCTATCTGGGTATTCAAATTTCTGTTACGCACTAGTTTTTACACATGTGGGTATTTAAGTTAAATATTTAAAAACACTATTCATCTAGGCCCTGCAAACTTTAGAGCTTTATAGGACTCAAAATACCACGATACTTCCACAAGAAAGTGTGATGGCAAATGATCATGATGTAACTGTCATCGTGGACTTTGGCAAGGTTGACGGAATGCCCGTTTATAATTTCAAAATAAGTTGCTGATTTGCTAATCGAATACGCAGGGTTACTTCACAATAATTTGATGATACGCACAAGTTTTATTTTGTAGCGTATCTGTAATGTTCGTTGCGTATTTGATACACTTTGATTTTATTTTACTGCGTAGTTCTGCATTTCTGATGCGTATGTTACGCAGATACGCAGCTTAACTGGAGCTCTGCTCTTCTATACAATATGTCCTGAAGATATTTCTCAATTTTTGTACAGGTATAGCAGAATATCACCTCAAAATTTGCAAAATCACTGCCAAGTCACCACACTTGATCCGCCAATCCCTTGAGTGGCCTCTGACAACAAACACAGGTTGCTTGGGATCAATTCAAACTAATTTGTTTGTTTGTTTGTTGTTTAATGCCTCACTTTGCAATATTCCAGCTATATGACAAAATAATCGAGTCCGGACCAGACAATCCAGTGATTGACATCATAAACATCGATCCACGCAAGAGGAATTCGGTGACATGCATCAACCAAGTCAGTGAGCCTGACCACTGATCCCTTTAGTTGCCTCTTACGACAAGCATAGCTGCCTTTTACGGTAAGCATGGGTTGCTGAAGACGTATTCTAACCCCGGATATAAGATTGGTAACAGATCGCAATGAGAAAAAACACACTTTAAACAAACCTTGTACAACTGCCCTTATCTGATTGGCAAATTGTGAAAACACTTTGTTTCGTTCCGAGTCTTTGGCGGTTTTCGTTCGTTTTATGTTCTGCCATTTGCTGTGTCCCGCCATACATCTCTTTGGCACCGAGATGAGAATGGCCTGACTTGTGGCGTCGCCCACATTCCTGCATAATGGGTGGATGTTAAAGGGGCGTCTACACGAGCTGTTCGGACAGCTGGAATAATCCTGTCTTTGCAATCTTGAACAGATTAATGCTGGCAACAGCCTACTACTTGATTTGACGTCTGTGAAATTGAGAAGGAATTTTCTTGTGAAGTTTGAATAGGCTGCTGCCATGATGATTAAGTAAACAGTGAATGTACTTTCTTAAAGGGCTGCTTCTGTGGCCATTATAGACTTGTTCCTGGCTGCTGTACCTGAAAATAGGAAAATTAACATTCAAAATCTCCCATAGGTTAATGTCTGCAGGGTTTTACCTTGACTTACAAAAGTTGGGGTTCAGGGAACCCTAATAATTAATTTTAAGGGTCCTTGCAGGCAATATGAGGGTCCTGTTAAGTCATGAAATTGTGTAGTGTACCAGTTTAGATAATTACTTTAGTCTGGAATGAATCAATGATGAGAGATAATTATTTCAAGGATATAAAGTATTTGTAGCAATATTTTAAATTCTGTGTGATCTGTACTATATTTAATATACTTAATATTATTGTTAAATTATTTTGGTTGTCATGTCACCATGTTGTATTATATTAGACTGCAACCCCATCTATGCGCTCTGTAAGAAAACTGCTTTACATTCTTTTAAACTGTATCATGGCCAGGTGGTTCCTTTAAGCTAATAAACATTAACAACAATGTTCATGACTGATGGATGAAATATCAGAAAGCCATAACTGTTCTTGTTACGTTGTAGGTACAATGAACACTATTGTGTGTCCCTTGGGATGCGGTATATTCTTTTTCTGAGTCCATTCTCTACATTTGTCCGTCACGTAAAACCCTGTGTCTGTTGTAGTTAACAATAGTTTTATCACAGCAGACTGCGTACAGTCTGCGTATGAGAAGTGGACAAAGACTCGGTCAGACAAGTCAGTGGTTCAGTGAGTCACGTTGTTAACTAACAGATTATCAATTAAATCACACAATGTGATTGCATGGATTGAGCTAGACCTGCTCAGAGGCCGATATCTGGCCCGAAGTCTGCAGCAAATGTCAGCCAAAATTCCCAACTTGGAAGTTAGATTTTTCCTCATTCATGTTAATCATGTTGATAAAACTTATAACTATTCTGGTTTTGTAGAGGTGCCTTGTATTTCGCTGATAACAGGACCAATAAAAAGGAACAGCCATTATCTATTAGATACAATGTTGTAATACATATGAAATTATGAAAATACTGGCTTTAAAAATTCCATAAATGTTATACAAAATAACAGGGATGGGTATTCGAGGTTTAGTGTATCAATATTTTGCGATGCACAAGGCCATATTGCAAAATGTATCACAATATATTGTATGATTCTAAATTCTGAATTCATTTGGCAAGAACATTCAATGATACATAATAAACACATGATAAAAATCACTATTTGAAATCACCCGATATATCGAGCATGATAAAATGATATTGTGATACATATCATGGCAAGAATGAACCTCAATTTAACGATAGAGCGATAATACCGCACACTCTTACAATTTATTTTTTTCCAAATTGGTCTGCCAAGGGCACTTAGATTGAAATGTTTCATATATATCCCCGTGTTTGGGAAAATGGCACACAAACATACAAGTTACCAACATTTGTAACATTAGACCACTTTCAAAAATGGCATTGTGTTTACAACAGTTTAATTTATTTATGCGTTTATTATTTATAACCACAGGAGCATGTAAATAATAATAATAATAACAAACTCGCAGATTTGTGTTTGTCATTATTAGTTACATGGTCCTGTGTTTATAACATACGGACTAGATGTCAAGTGAATAATGGACGTCAGTTGAAAACATCATTTTTGGTTGAATTTGTAACGGTTGTTCACAAAACTTTGGCTACGTGCGAGCAATGGTGAATTCAAACGCTAGTTTTATCACCCGAACATTGACAACCAGAATATTTCGACGTGTAAAGATGTGTCGTCGTAAAGATGGTGTTTTAGATCAATAAAAATGAATATTCACAATGCATTATGAATTGTTACAAAATATAATATTATGCTTGGACGCACCAGATATAATAACAATACAATCGTTGTTTTGAAAGTGCACATTGACCGGCCCATGTACGTTCGGAAGTCAAACCGTGTTTCAATTTCTTGCCTTCAGATCGGAGACTTCCATTGCGATATCAGGGTTATTTCCCTTGCATGAAATTACTAAAACTGAAAAAAGCTGTAATAAAATACTTCTCTCGCGATGGGTTTTCCTGACACAATGTCACGTGCTCATCCGAGTCTTGAATGAAGGACTTTACCAGAGAACAAACCATCCAGCTACGAGGAATTATTATTATATGTCTGTCCCGAGTGAAGTTAAGGCATGCTAGGTGTTAATCCCGAGCTTTTGGCGAGGGACTTACAGCATTCTCCGGAGGGACAGATAATCTTTCATTCCAAGTTTCTAGCAGGTTATTCTATATATTACTCAATTAGGAGATAAACCTACCGTGTTTTGAAATTTGATGCAGTCAAACTGTAGAGTAGATACCTCTTTATTTTATCATTGAACATGCGTTTTTGCGCATGACATTTTAAGAACGAAAATGAAGAAAAACTTATGAAATCTCAACCCTACAGATAAACCCCACTGACCGCAGTCTTTTGTTAAGGTGACGTCATGTAATCAATTTGTGAAGTCAAGAACAATGGATGACGTCATATCGTATTTTTCACAACGAAGCACTGTGACGTCATGTGGCATCAATTGACCAATCGGCTTTGATAATAGCTAAAATACGCTAGTGACACTTGCCTAATATTCCCCAAGAACAATGCTATAGTCAATAATCATACCAAGTTATCAGGCATTATGCATATTGCACAAATACATGACATTTTTAAAGCTAACTTTGCCTTCACAGCTTGAAGGTTCTTCGGGAGTTATATCATGGACAAGTAATCAATAAATGTTTATTATTTTCCACAATATGTTTCAAATACGATGAGTAACAGTCGTTATATGTCAGTGTTTTTTTATTATTAAACAATGATTGTAACTGTGTTACATTGTTTCTGTTTAGATTCGGTAGACGCTCATTGCATGGTATTTTGACAGTAATTAGTTGTCAGGAATGCAGTACTGTTTAATGTAAGCAGTTTTGCGGAAGTTACTATATTTAGATGTTAGAGTTATGTGTAAATGTCCGGAATACCGTGGACTGAATGTACTGTAATGTTCTAGTGCCGCTAGACTAGTGATGGCATTGTGCCAAAAAATCCAGAAGCTGTTTAGACTGTATATAAGAGGACAAGAGCGGGCCTCTCGTATCTCCCACACATTTCATAACATCAAGACCAGCTTTCGTGTGAAGATCACCCATCACCCCGAGGTCCCTGCCAAGGGCCATCTCGAAAGCTTGACCACCGTCACCGCTTGGGGTGTGGGTGTGGGGTGTGGGGGGGTGGGGGGGGGGGGGGGGTGGGGGAGGGGGGGGGGTGTGGGGGTGTGGGGGGTGGGGGGTGTGTGGGGGGGGGTGGGGGTGGGGGAGAATGACTTTTGCTTTCACCACTGTGTTTTTTGTGTGTTTGACACTGACCACTGCCATCATGTTATATATTGCCATTGACTAGTGTTCTACCACTCTATTGTGTACTGCCATTGTAATTGCTGTGCACTTATTTGTATTGATTTGTAAGCCTAGTTAAGTTTGTAATACATTTGTTGACTGTATACCACATGTTGGTTGTTTGTTGGTTTCACACTAAATTCTTACAGGTACATATTTCTTGGTTAACATATTGTTTCAGTTTGGGAATCGACACGTAATAACATAATTCTTTTCTGGATTGCATACGTTGTCTCCTACCGGTTACTTTTTCAAGATAATATTTCCATATTTAAAATCTAATAAGATTTTTTTTTTAAATACCGTGTTTACCCTGAAATTTAACAACTATAATTCTGGTTCCAAAACATATTCTATATTCCAGTACGTTTGTAACTTGACATTTCCATACTTAAACCTCATAACGGTGCTGAATAAACGACAATCAAAATGCTTTTGTACATCTTTCATTGTAAAACTAGATTGTCAATTATCGTATTCCAAGGTTTCATATTAAGTTCTCCACCTACTTATTAAGTTTACCTCGTCGTAAACATCAAATATACTAATAACTTATCAAATATGATAAACCATGAATAAGATCATAATTAGATTACATATAATCATCCAAATTTTATTAAAATCATCATGTTACATAATGGACAATCCTATGTAAATTTTACTGCCCAATTAGAACGGTTGTCACCCTATATGATCAGGCACAGTGATCTTTATAGTGGAGTCGCAGGTGATGTTTCAATATTTTCACACACTGTTTCTAGTTGTATGCTTGTATGTTCACACGGTTCACGTTCAAGGACATTGACTATTTTTTTTCAACATATCCTAAATAATCCTTTCTTTGTTGTTTGTAATTTAATGCCGCACTCAGCAATATTCCAGCTATATGACGGCGGTCTGTAAATAATCGAGTCTGGACCAGACAATCCAGTGATTGACATCATGAGCATCGATCCACGCAATTGGGATACGATGACATGCATCAACCAAGTCAGCGAGCCTGACCACCCGATCCCGTAAGTCGCCTCTTACGACAAGCATAGTCGCCTTTTACGGCAAGCATGGGTTGCTGAAGACCTATTCTACCCCGGATCTTCACGGGTGAAATATTCCTTTCAAATTTGGTAATGATAATGAGGAATGTCCTGTCAAACCAGCTTGTTGTTCAAGAATGCTACAGAACCAGCTTGTTGTTCAAGAATGCTACAGAACCAGCTTGTTGTTCAAGAATGCTACAGAACCAGCTTGTTGTTCAAGAATGCTACAGAACCAGCTTGTTGTTCAAGAATGCTACAGAACCAGCTTGTTCAAGAACGCTACAGAACCACCTTGTTGTTCAAGAATGCTACTGGCATTCGTCGAGGACGATAGAATATAGAAACCAGTTTCTGAAAATACACACAGTAATGCATTTTGTATATTTTACCTTAGCGGACATTTCACCAAGAGGTGAGGTGAAAATTGGGTTTAACGCCGCGTCAATATAAGTGCAATAATCTTTGGACGCGACTTAAACCCCATTTCACTTCACATCACTAGTCATGTGTACGTGTTACACATGTTAACCCTTTGTCTGTATCATTCGATGCTACTCGTGTGTGATTTTCAAAAGGGGGTGGGTTGAACATCAGCAACATCGGGACCAAAGCTTTGAATATATGCATGGAGAATCTGCTGTTTCATTTCAACAATATGAAATTCAAATAAACATGAAAAACATTTTAACAAATATAGACACCTACGTATCATATATAATATAAATATATTGTGAACTGGAAAGAGCGCCTCAGTTTGGAATTAAACCAAAAACAACAACCAATAACTAAAATCTAGTACTCTGAAGACAAAATATATCATACCTAGAGCAGTGAATATCTTTGGCGCGATACAGTGGTAAAACCACAATTTCCCATGACTCAGATTGAATATAATGATATTTTACTAATATAGATGACTATTATTATTATTCACACCTCAAAAACACTCAATGGCCTGTTGAGCTCAAACCCAACCTTAATTACAGGTAACTTCAGCGTAGGAACACGGGCTGTATCCAAATACCACGGAGCGGTGAATTTAGGATATGAATGTAAATTCTCGCGGACGCCAAGTCTGTGAAATGAATTAATAAAACAGTGAATATTCCCAGCTGTCTCACTCTCTCTCAAAACCACGTTAATTATCGTGCGACTTAACATAAAATGCATATTGTTGTTATATTCTTACGCTTACGAGGTATCGAAGTGATACGTGCAAAAAATTGTCACTTCAGAGCAACACAGCATACAAACACCATGTCACGTGACATGGAAAGAGCGAAGAGCGTCTATGTCCAGCATTGTGATCAATGCCACAGTAAGTACCATGTCATTTAGCAATATTTAGCTAAATGGTGTTATTGCCCCGCCTGATAAATGTACCTTATAATTATCTTAATGTAATTCCAGGCATATCCAAGTAGTCTATGTACATCATGTATTCCCTTTCGCCCAAATGGAAACATAGGCGCACACCCATCCATTCATACACACGCAAATTCAAGTTTACATAATCACACTAAGTTACAATCATAATATAATTATATATTCTGTGACTCCGTAATAATTAACACCATTCACTTTATGATACGCAACAACCACAACGATAACACGTACGTGGCCTTGTTGCCAAACAATTTCTTCTCCTTGTTATCGTCTTTGTTTGTTATATATGACGTCATTTCAAAAACACTCACTTCGCCATCTTGTAACCGCGTCAGTACACGAGTACACTTACATAAAAATAACCACCCTCCCTTCCCTCGCTCTTGTCGCACCTTCATGTACATTGCAGCAAAATGTAAAAAAATTATGAATATTGTTATTGGTATCGCTGATTTGCGTTTTATATAAATAAATACCGTTAGGTGAGGCAAGATTTGGACGGGCGCTGGACCGATAAGGTTTCGCTCGTATGCTCGGTTGCCTGCTTGTACAGTGGGAGCCCATTCCAGCCCTCATGTTTCCGTGGGTGGACACAAATGCATATAGCTCGTCTGCTGTACAGTAGAGAGCAGATGGTTTTCGCTGCTGCTGGGAGTAATCTCCCTTGCTCGGTCTAGCGCCCGTCTAGCTCCGCCTTCATCACCTTTTTATATCCAAACATTCTTTTCTGTTATTATTCTCTTCCAAAGTCCATAACAGGTCGGCCGATAACAGTTTTATTACAGATATTGCGGGGGGTGTCATTTCAGGCAAACCGATTGTTACATATATTGCGTGGCGTGTCAGTAGTCCATGTACGTAAAACACTGAAATTAAGATAAAATATACTTAAAAATATCCATTAAGGACGCGTTAGTCGATTATTGATTCTAATGACATGATGCGTGGTCCAGTCTCTGATTCCACAGTGTACTGATCAACTGTGATTATATTTCAGACGGATCTGCTATACAGGATATGATGAAGAACAACAAATTCCAAGCAACTTAATTGCCCCCAGCAACTTCCGGGAGCCTCGTTTTCCCCATCTGGGCTTGCCTTCCAGTCGACTGGTTAAAGGGAGA